CTATGCAAAGTTATACCTTTCAAACATCTCTGTGTGGGCGACGAATGCATGGAGGGATGCGAATATGAGTAATTCCATGCCGAATAAACAGGTTTTCATTCATTTCAACGAAAAGCTATATTTCACAGACTTACTTAAGCAGCCTTCAGACAAATTGGAAATTGTACAAGGATGGAGGATTGGACCTTTCGCTGCCCCGGAATTTCACATAAAAGCACAACACGGAAGTTTTCGGACTTAGGGCCATACGAAAAAAAGATGCCCCTATCCAGCGCAGGTATTCTACATCCTGGCCCGGCTATCAATTGCAAAAAAGTTGTTTGCGGAGAAGTGGCTGTCCAAAGCTGAAAACTGGTGTGTTGGTCAATTAAACAACGATTTGACAACTGTGGTATTTCCTTAGAATGGAGGGGGAAGGGAAATCAGAAATGTTTTTTGTTACTGAATGTACAAAGATAGAGAGAGGTCAAAAATTTTTACTGCAAAAGACACCAGAGAGAAAAGTATACAAAAGTTTCTGCACAAAAATTTATTCTCATTAATTCCTTCGAATACTTCGACACTTACAATCAGCACCTTCCTCAGCGATCTGAGATACTGCAGTCAGTGAAAAGGGTTGTTGTTGTGCTGCTGCCACAAGTTTTTATTAGGTTCAAAGTGTTTAAAGGCAGTTGGCACGACAAACTTTTAAGACGAGTAGGATTAATATGCTTGCTAGGACAGAATTCCGCGACCCTGAGCAGGCGTTGCGTAGCGCCTCTTTCAAAGAAGCTGCTCCTATAAGACCTATCAGGTTACAACATACCGACCCAAGCGCCCACCTAAAGTGGACGACCGTACCTAGTGCTCGTATTGTTCATTTGTTAAGTAAATAATAAATAAAAATATGAAGCGGCTGGGGTGCTGCATGGATATATGAGTACATACGTGCAGCCGTACCTACCGTAGCGGTTATTGGCAAGATGCCTACGGAAACTCGTCCGAAATTGCTTTTTGAGTCATTGAGAACGAAGGCTTTTCTTCGCAGTTTTTGACCGTTTCACTTCGTTTTTTCGCCATTTCCCCACTATATAGCGCCCTGCTAGCATTTTAGGCCGAGCACCAAATTATCGTGCCAATTGCATTTAAGTGTTTCGATTCGAACATATGAACACTTCACACTGGGATCCTCTTTGAAGAGAGAGTATCATGCGAATTCTGCGCAATCCCTTGCTCTGCCCTGCTTGGCTCTGTATAACGCCATAATGTGAACCTTCAACCTCACTGCTCACCACCGTTATCGGCTCAAGGGTTCAACAATTAAAGATGTGAGCATTAAGCTATATGCGCGAAAGGGCCATTGAATGTGAGGGGATATAGGAGCGGGTCAAGGCTTATGCGAAATCTGCCGACCGGCCACTCCGGTAGGGCCACTCGTTTCAAGCCCCGGCTGGGGTCAGCCCTTTTGCTCGTGGCACAAGCTTCTCGTGGTAACTTTCGGAGCGGAATCACACCGTTAAGCAGCAGATATCGTAATGAAACGACCATTCTTCTTTATTGGTCTTACTTCCGGCCACCAGGTGAATAGTTTACAGAACCGTGGCACTGTAAGTGGTCGTGTCTAGGCTAAAGTAATGACCCTTTTCCTATTTTCTGTAGAATTGTTAGAAACGTATACATTCAGATATCCCATAAAGTAATTGCTGTCAAACTTCCACTGCTCTTGAGGGTTAGTTTCCGCCGAGAAATACTGTAGACAACAAGAGGAGTCATACACCGGATCGTGAAAGTTCGTAGCGTAGAGTCTACATTCCACGTCTTGGCTCTGTATAACGCCATAATGTGAACCTTCAACCTCACGGCTCACCACCGTTATCGGCTTAAGGGTTCAACATTAAAGATGTGAGCATTAGAAGGCTATAGCGCAAAAGGCCATTGAGTTGAGGGATAAGGAGCGGGTCAAGTGGCTTAGGGGATATCTGCCGACCGGCACTCCGGAGGCACTGGTTCAAGCCCCGGCTGGGGTCAGCCCTTTTGCTCGTGACACAAGCTTCTCGTGGTAACTTTCGGAGCGGAATCACACCGTTAAGCAGCAGATATCGTAATGAAACGACCATTCTTCTTTATTGTCTTACTTCCGGCCACCAGGTGAATAGTTTACAGAACCGTGGCACTGTAAGTGGTCGTGTCTAGGGCTAGGTAATGACCTCTTTTCTATTTTCTGTAGAATAGTAGAAACGTATAATCAGATACCCATAAATTGCTTCAAACTTCCATGGCTCTAGAGGGCAGTTCCGCCGAAAAGTATGTAAGACAAAAGAGAGTCAACAACGTCGTGAAAGTCTAGCGTAGAAGGTCTACACTAAAGCTATGCCGAGGTCTATTTAAACCGCACCTGGTGACTTACAGCTAACATGCTGAGGATGAAAGCAGGGCACATGTCGGATATAGCAGCGTCACTATGATCCCTCGCTCCACAATAGTGGGCATCGATACGGACTCGACTAAAATCCCCAACCAGTACTGTGTCCTGACTTGTTGAAAAAAAAACGAAGATGTTAGGTGTCTAAACGATCCCTGGACACCGGTGGCGAGTCAATGATGGGAGGGTACTACATAACTTCACTCAAAATATTACTTTTTAACTGCTTTCATCTTCGTTTTATTTCAATAAAACCTTCAACATTTTTGAATTAGATGACCTAACAGCATTCAACTGGATGTTCTCAGCTTCGAGCAATTTGTTTATTCTAACCACTCAACAAATAATGTACATTGTATTACACGCGGAATAGGAGACCACTGTGAGTAAACATGAACTTCCAAACGGCAAAAGAAATACAAAAGAATTAAACTGAGGAAATGCTAACGAAATTATATAAGAGCAAAGTTTACGTTCGGGTGTAGCCACCCATCAAAAGTATAGTTCAGTGAACAAACATAACATCACAACCAGTCTAATCATAAGAACGGGAACGACGGCGCTCTCGACGCGGAGGAGAAGGTGTTCGACGGCTGAAACAGTTTATTCAAATCCATTTTCCTTGTACTTCTTCCATGTGGATTGAAATAGATAAGTAGTTACCGACTACTACGTCCTACGTAACCGTCCCTATACGATTCTCGACGCTCAGTTCTAAAAAATGAACAAGATTAACACTTCTACAGCAGAAACTAATAAAACAAGCACCCCTATCTTATTTTCGCCCTCACCTGTATCCACCTGAACCATATCCATAAGTCCTTCGACCTCCTCGAACAGCCCCCATATACTGACCGGGTGTTGGAGTGTGTGCTCTTTTTGTCAGCGAATAATCGACGCGTATCTGAAACCATTCAGAAATTCAGATGACAATCAGTAACGCTCACACAAGAATTGTTTGGTTAAAATAGTTACCTTATGCCCATCTATCTCTTGCCCGGTCAGCTTATCTCGTGCAACACACGCATCCTCTAGACGTTCAAAGTACACGAATCCAAAGCCGCGGGAACGTCCTGTGGGATGATCGTAAACCAGTTCAACCTGTAAACCAGATCACTACACTTTTGTTAGTTGATAGCAATCACAAAATTACCTTTTCAATTTCACCGAATTCTCCGAAAAGCTCTCGTAAATCCTTCTCGGTAGTGTACACACTCAGATTGAAACAACCCAGGCACCTGACAAAAAAAAATCGTTATTGAGTCACTGCTGACCATGGATCTGGCTCTCGATCTCGAGTAAACCCAAACAGTGGAAATAGTCCAAAAGGGGTGACTAAAAGTTGCTGCTCCTACCTGCAAGGATCGGGATCTTCTCTTCTAGTCGGACGACCCCTCCATCTGCTTCCTCTGTAAAATACGATTTTCATTTGATGTTGGCATCGTTCATATCACGAAGTTATTCATGGCTAGAAAGTGCTAGTGAGACCGCGTTTAGACTCTGCGAGTCCAGCGAATATGACGCGCCACTGCGTCCCACAGTTCAATCGACAATTTTGGGACTTTTATAGCAGTCGAAAGATGTTCCGTTAGAATGTGACTGAGTTAACAGTTTCTAGGTCCAATGATTATCGTTGGGACGCAGCGCATCCATCACAGACTTACGATTCTCAAATTGCGCGGTATGAACGCATCCAATGTAACATCGCTAAAGACAGTAAGAAAAAATAAATTCAAGGGATGTAAGCGCATACCTGTCTCCACTGTCTCGCCTGCTTCGCATGTACGAATCCCGACGTCGTGGACTACGCGAGCGAGAGCGTCGCGAATCACGCCGATCCCTGAAAAGCTAATAATTATATACCTTCAATACAGAACAGACAACATAATAACAGAGAACAATACGGAACAAAACTTTCTGAATGGAACCCCATCCATCAATACTGTAACCTTTCTCAGTGACTCAAACACATTCTTTGGCCTTAGATCTAATCCGTAACACAGTGCTCAATCACTGACCACCCTAGAACCCCATATAATTATCTACTCTCAAATAGCGCCTGAATATTCTCCAAGCATACCTATCACTAGCGCGTTCACGCCATTTATATCACCTAATCCTCTTATGCTAAGATTATACCTCAAAATTTCTCCACAAACCTTGCAAGTGAACGTCACTCTTTACTGTTCCTCACAAGGGGAGGGGGGCACCATAACTAGGTTGCCGGATCGGGGCAAGTTCTTTTCGGAAAGTATCGCAAAAGATTCTGACTTCAGAAGCAAGACTCCTTCTGAACCACTGATATCAACCAAAGCATCCCGCTGTTTTCAATCCAACTGTTCTGAAAAAACTCACGATGATCGGCTTCCACTCCTTGATCCTGACGCAGAGCGTGAAACTCGTCTACGTCGATGCGGCGAACGAGACCGACTACGGCCACGTCTATCACGTGGCGACGGAGATCTCACAGGAGAGCGGGAACGAGTACGCGACCTGGACCTTGACAGAGTTCGCGACGAAGATCTTCCGCGCTAAATAGTAACAAGTTGAATTTCGATAATAATGACACACCTGTCACACACCCCCAGTGCACGAGGAAAATTCACCATTCAAAACAAGTGGTTCGAGCTATTATAACAATTCCAGTTATGTTACCACTTCGCTGATGCTAAGTTTATGAGCTCAGGAAATCCTAATTGATGGCCAGCATTACGCCTTAAATAATTTCGCGATTCTACAAGAAGCGGTTACGGTGTTCCAGCCAAGAACCTTGTTTTCCAATGGTGCATACTCACCACACAGACGAATCTTCATTTTCTTGTCAACGTGATTTTAGCAGTCGCTGTTCATTTCTTCTCCTTACTTCATAATTTCATTGGTCTTCATGTTCTTCATTTTCTTCGCTGCCTCTTCTAACTCGCCAACCATGAATGTGCTTGAGCTCGTCACGAGACAATCGCATTCACCAATCAACAAAAGCGAAGAATATGACAGATGATTCGCAAACGAAACCCCTCCCTAACGAATAACATTTTTTTGACATTAGAAAATTGTTAGGGTGACCTACAACACATAACATGCATATGGAATAACTGCGTTAATGTGAGCCTTGGCAATCGCAACTTCAAAAATGAAATTCCGACCTCGCGAAGGAAGGCACTAACACAGTAATCTATCATCATAAGCCAACATAGAGTCAGCTGCACTCAGTTCGAGCGTTGACCTGTGACCTCGGGGTTCAGACTTCGCGATCGCGCGGTCGGATCGCTCGATTTCATCGCGCGACCGCGACTGGGAGCGCTCCACAAGGAAAGCAGTGCGCCGCCGTAACGAAGAATTCAAATTGGGCGCGTTCACACAGTGCCGCTTTGAACTGTGCCGTTGCGGAGGTGCATCGTTTGGCGATGGAGCGCCGCCGTTCATGGGCGCGCGATCCGATGATGCGCTCGCGAATCTGAATCTGTTGTACGACTATAAACGTCGGAAAATCTCCGAATCTCACGCAAAAACGCTGTGCTTCCGCTATGGTTGGAACGCTCGAATGGAATGCAACTGTGGGAAGAAGCACTTCATGCACATTCATGCAGGAAAATAAGAAGCGAAGCGAAGTGGATGTTGCCCACAAAAGCAGGGGGAAGCGAACGTCGCACTCAGCAACAATTTGAGTATACAAAATCTTTCCAGCCAAATGTTTTTCTTTTTCATATTCAAAAAGGTGCAATATTTTGTTTATTCTACAGAGATGTATTCACTCCCCTCCCCTCCTCCACCAAGATTATTTCTAACGATACACTTTTCATTGGCTTTCAAACGACTCTTGAGGACGTTCTAGTTCATATCTACAAGTTCTCCCTAGTATCTAGTCCTCAAGCTTCAAGTAGCAATGACACGCGCTGAAAACACTACCGTCACGGCTAGTAATCCAGACGCTGCCTGATTAAAGGGAAATTCACACGGAATGTCTGTTTGTACTTGACCATTATGGCTTTCGGTGAATTTCCACAAAATACACGCTCAGCGACATTGAAAAATTCACAAATGGCATGATTAGCCAACAAAGCTAAGTACTTATCAATTCTATTTTTCGAGAATTCACCACGAAAAGTCTTTTAGCGATGCTCTCTTCGGAAGAAGTCAGACCCCACACATGAAGTCAGAGTGGATAATTTGGCAACTTTTTGCCCGTACGGTGGTTGTACGATTAAGGCATAACTTATCAGACCTTATCAGAAAAGGCCAATAGGTCAGTCCGACCATTTGCACGCGATGTACACAGGCGTACTTGCCTTGGGAGGCTGAGCACAAATCTTACCTCGAAATTGCGGAACGATTTTGTGAGCGAGGTATGAAGACTTACAGAATCGATCGACACGTGCACTTTCCTATTAGTCGCTCAAACGCCGTTGCACGCTGGAGTGCGCTAGATCGATGCCGCTGACGTACGAACGTTCAAAAAGTTCGGCGGCGCTGACGCAAAGTATGAACGCAACCTAGCCCAATCTCACCATTTCGAAGTTTTCTCAGCATCTCAAATTCTGCTAGAATGCCGTCCTTATAGGATATGTGACCCCTGAAGATGAATATCTCTACCGCTTAGAGCACCGTCTCACTAGCTCGTCCATTGTCTCATAATGCGTGGAATGGAAGAGGTCGACTGACTAAGAAGGCGATAGGCACATGGTAAGACAAAGCTGACTGACCTGTTGACAAATGAATCCAGCGAACCAAGAAATTTTCTATCTGCTTCTACTTCTTGCAGAAAAAAAATATTTGTTTTGGTGTAAGAAAATTTCAGTTTGCTCCAAAATGACCTTCCTTGGTCAGATCCTTCCACGACTTTTATACACCTTACAATGCACATAACTACAGCCCATAAATTGGCAACAGTGATCAAATTATTCCATCGTAACTGCCTCCAAAGATTATAGAATGGAGGGTACAGTCCGATATTTCGTGTTGGTTTCGCTCATCACAAATGAATCCAGCGAACCAAGAAATTTTCTATCTGCTTCTACTTCTTGCAGAAAAAAAAATATTTGTTTTGGTGTAAGAAAATTTCAGTTTGCTCCGAAATAACTCTTTTAGATACCGTGTGTACTTCCGAGTACATCCGCTAGCATGTCACAAACCACAACCCAAACAGTTTTGTTAGATAGAGAGCGTTAGTATTAAGAATCGAACAACAACGCAATAGTTCATCACAGACAGAATGCTACAGCTAGCATTACGAAGTTTGCACCATAGACTGGACGGACAACAGGAAGGACCTCTATCTAAGACATCGAATATGTAAAGATCTTTCTCAAAAGAAGCAAGTTCCACTAACTATTGAGTAATATGTGTCGTGATCGATGCCTCAAATAGGGTAAACCTCATGCGGCTCTGTTCATAGCTTGCGCGGAATAAGCAAACAGTGGAATAGAAACAGGTACGTGCTGGCAACGAGACGATTTCCCAGGCAATCAAAAAATTTGGGTAGAGAAGAAAAGTGGCCCTGAACAGACGTAGCCCTCTGAGAAAGCTCAAGAATGGACTTGTCAACGGAAAGGATCACATACGGACTATAGAACCCAATGAGAAGAGACTCCCTGGATGACTGCTTTACCAACATAGTTTTCTGGGATTAGTTCGCATTCGTACTCATAGCCGAACTGCAGAACATAAGAATACGAGAGCTTGTGAAAAGGAGTATACACGCAACTGAATGGGCGAAAAAGAGGGAAGTGGAGGAAAAGGATTAAATACAAATCGACGACATCGTCGTCAACGGGGCGGCACTTTCGATAAGATATCGATTCTTTACTTTGGCAAAGCCATCGATCAATGCGCAGCTTTTCGCGGTCTCTCTGATTTTCCAGCAATGGTGTCATAAGAACGCGTGAAATAGTTCGCACGTCTTGCTTTTAATGAATTTGCTAATTCAGCATTAGCTATGAATAGAACCTGAGGAGCACGGGAAAATGAGACTAATAAGTTGGAAATAGAGAGTCCTGCAAAACTTTGAACAATTTGTTCCACTCTAGAAAAAGTATAAGAAATTCCAATTGTTCTAACTCCCTATAAAAGGAGAGTGTTCTCCGAGGTTTGATAACGCATGTGTAATCGCTTCGTGGAAGCTTTCAGAGAGTAAAAGTCCCGCGAGGGTTAAGGTACTTTACGACATTACATTCCTGTAGGGCCACTCTGTCGTAACACTTGCATTATCTTCTGCAAGGACGTCGCTTGCCAGGCACAATGTCCATCTGCAGACAGACAATGTACTGGTCGGCCACAATCGCAGAATGGTTACCGTTTACTCAACCACTTGGACACGCAGCCGAACTTAACCACTAGTAAGTTGGCAACATCTTTGGCACCCGTATGACAACTATCATGCTTCTTTCTTTTCTATGATCTCTATGATCTTGTTTACCAGGAAATTGTTCTCCAGTGGAAATTTTTTGTTTACCAGGAAATTGTTCTTCAGTGGAAATTTTTCTGGAGTGAATGTTTTTGGACGTTTAAATGCGCCGAGCGATCGTAGCTCAGATTCTTATCCTTTAACCACATTAAAAGGGCTAATTGGTGAAGGCGTTGTTTGGTAAATAGAGCTGGTTTCCTGAGGTGAACCACGTACCGTACTTGAGCTCCACAAATTCCTCAAACGAAAAAGCCGCTAACCAAGTCAAGTGCAGATACGAGCACAGCAGTAACAAACACAATCTGCTTCCAAAAGTATTAGAAGATGACCCAGGTCTCGCATTCTACCAGCATGAAGCAGTGTCTTCACACTCACCTTTCACGATGAGGATACGCCAAAACATTATCGATCTCAATCAGGGACTGTGATCCTACTCCGTTTATTCACCATCCGTTCTAGAAAAGCGGAACCGAGGAGCCAGGCGAAAGGAGGACAAGTGTTTCAGTTGCTGATGGTGATTATCTTGTAAATCAGTTGTGATATCTAGTAAAAGAAAATTTGGTCCCAAATTTTGGTCAAAGTGTTGCAGAACTTTCTGTCCAACCTAAGGTAAGCTTTGCAATACAGTGCAGTAACAGAAGCTGAGGTGCAATTAGCGATCACAACATATAATGGGCACACTTACCACTCCATTGCCGTTGCGAACAGGGGAAGACGAGCGGGACCGCGAGCGACTCATCGAACGTGAGTGAGAACGAGGCATCCTCCTACAAGCTCACCACTACCTAAAACATACAATGTACCACACTATCTCAGCTCTTTTCACAGGATAATGCGCTTGAACGACTGTGAAATGAGAATAAAAAGGCCACATCAATACCGAAGTAGAACAAGAGAGTTTGCGATGAAGATCAGATGCACATGTAGTTGCCGAACAGAACTGACCACGTACCGATTCTGAGGATATTATCACTCATTCCGCGCTGTCGATTCGAACCGCAAGCTTCACTTTTGGGCTGAGAAATCGATTTGCATCAATTTCTTCTCACAAATCTCAAGATGTATGCAGCGGTTTCAGGAATATGCTCGCAATTGTACAACGTGACTTTGAGGCCTCGCTGATGTAGTTAGACTGCGTCCGTACCTTACTGTTAACTAGACTTATTCAGTTTTCTGCAAATACACCCAGAAGATTAGATAAGCATCGATTCGCACTCCAAGAGATCGATTACAGCAATTCCATTAGGAGGGATCGATAGGTATCCCATCTAGGCAGCCTAGTCGTCGAAAAGGTCGGTTACGGCAGCATTAATTGTAAGACATGAATGTAACCTTATGCACTAGCGAAATCTGAGCGCGACTCATCGAAAAGGTTTAGATGCGTATCGATTTCGCTGACCCCGCCCCAGAGAAA